TCCCCACAACAAACATTTGTTTCCTCTCCCTCCCTTCTATCCAGGACCATAGTGCCATGGAGGACATTTCGGCAGGCTCTTCATGAGTTTCACCCCCCCAAGGGAAAAAAAAATCCCACATGCATACTACCCTTTTGGGCTAAGCCCCGGGTGTTTCAAATGTCTGGCTCCGCCTCTGGGTGTAGCTAACCACAGATGACTTTAACAGAAACACCACACTAAGAGCTATTTATATAGTATGCAGAAATATTAAGAAGCAGCACTTAAAAACTGTTAACACATTTGCCAATGCACTGGACAAAGTTTCACCAGTATCGCTCTAGACCAAAACCATTTCCTTTAAAAACAGGATTGATCATGGGCTGCTCTCTTCAGGGGAAGAAACGTTTCCCCTGAAGAGAGCAGCCTCCTGTCTGTGCACCTCACTGTTCTTTAATATTTATCTGTCGTTTCTTCATGCATATCAGTATTTACGTGCAGTACACACAGACAGAGTGGTGACTGTGGTGGGAGCAACTTTATTCACCACAAACATGTCAGCTGCAGCCAGTGCTTGATGATCTCTCTTGTATGACAGAGCAAAGCTGCTGCTTCTTTAAATGTTTAAGTCAAGTTCAAACCAATAAACACCCTCACTCTCCGATTCATTATCTCAGTACATGCTGTACTCTATTGTGGACATGCAGGAGTGAATAAAGTTTAGGACAGCAGTTTAAAATATCTGATGACAGGATGTGGTTATGTTCTTTCTGCTGAAATGTTATTATTAAACTCTAATCTCTGACCTCTACATCTAGCTCAGATACACTTGTTTGTAGCATTAAATGCAGAGTTTGTAATGTTAATGCAGAGTAAAACTGGCTATTGTTTGATGTAAATATGATTTTATAGTGATTACCTTGAACGTTTAGGCTACTTTCTGTAACTGTACCTAACAGTGTTTTTAAAAAATCCTCTTAAATATTTTTTATTTAACTGTAACTTTAATGTCTAATAGTTGAATTATTAAGTGTGTGATTGCTTTGATCTGTGTACATCAGGCTAGGTTATAACCACTTCTTCTGCTTCTATTTTGATGGTAACCTCACCCACTCTCAGTAATGTTTTTCTGTGCTTACTTGTAAAGAAACAGTTTGACAGATGAGAAGAGGAAACAGAGGCTGTGTACCAGTGATGGCTGGTGGACGACGTTATCGTAGCTTCGTGCACAACATTGTGCTGCTGCTCTGGGTCTGTCTCCACTGTAAGTAAACCTTTTGCTTCCAGATGTTAGTGACGTGTTGTATTTGTTGCCTCATGAACTGTGGTACATGAGTGAGTTCAGAACACAGCTGATAGCTGCAGCTTTGCCATTTCAGAGTATTGTTGTGCTGAAGTATTTATTATTGTTCTAACTGCTGCTAATCAACAATTACCTTTAACAGACATTTTTTGAATTCCTGGGAAACAGCTTCTGACACTTTATTTCATTTTTTAAATTCATTTGCTGTCACATTTATATGAAAATGACAACATTATGAATTCATGCTTGTCCACAGAGAAACACCTAAAAACATTTCATGGAGCCGTAGTGTGTAAACATTTTTGCTATGTTTACATTTTTGTTGTGCCAAGTCAGTCATATCAGAGTTGTCACTTATGTGTGATGATGTTCACATTCTGCAAAGAGATTTATTTTGGTTTTTTCTGATTTTGTTGTTTTTACTTTAACTATCACACGTTCACGATAAGGTTTCAGGCAATTTGGACTTGTTTCTCTCACCAGTTCACTCACATGTTGAACTTTCATAGATATCATACTCAGTTGTTTGTATGTTTTTCAGATGTCAAGGCTTCCAGTGGAAAACGCGTCATTCACAAAAAAGTTGGAGATACTGTGGAGCTTTCATCAGGCTTATCAACTGAAGGTGTGACTGCAGCAACGTGGAGATATGGAGGAATAACAGTGGCAGACAAAGATGAGGGTGTTTCTAAAGAGTCTCCATTTAAGGACAGATCAGAGCTGAACCCTGAAGACTTTACTTTAACAGTGAGAAAACTGACTCTTCAAGATTCTGGTGATTTCACTTTTGTCTCAGAGGTGAATGATGAGCAAAGGCCTTCAGTCAGCATCACTCTGCAAGTTCATGGTAAGAGACTTTTTTTTCCTTTTTTTTTTTTAAAACAAAGTCCTTGATTACTGTTAATAAAAAATCTCCTTGTGAGCTCATGAGTTTTTCTTTCTTCTTTGAAAAATGAGAAGTAAACTTAAAAGCAGCTTTACTGCTGAGAATATATAGAATAAACTTGGCATGAGGCAGGAGCTGACAAACAGGAACTTACACTGTCTGACTCTAAAATAAAACCGGAAGAAAAAGAAAGACCAACTTGACACAAAGACAGAAAGGCAAACAAACTTGGAAAGAGGACACAGAGATATCAGACAGGCATTATAAATATAACAAAACCAAGATACCTGGACTCACCTAGAATTTAACCAGAGAAGGAAAACTGCTGCTATTTTTATTTTAGGGTCTTTACGCTACAATTTTAAGCACATTGGGGTACTGTTGTTGTGATTTGGCGCTTTACAAACAAAATTGAATTTAATATGCAGACTGCTGGAGGATATAACATGACACAGGAAAAATAGGAACCACACAAGTAGACTCTAACCCTGGGTCCAACCCAGCGAGCATGACAACATGACACAGTGGTAAACAGTATTTGTATGTATCGTAGTTACTTCATTCACATCATTGTGCTGCTGCTCTGGGTCTGCCTCCGTTGTAAGTCCACGTTTGCGACGTGTTGCATTTGTTTGCCTCACTGACTCTGAGGTCAGGAGTGCTTCTCATATTTAGAAAGGGACATGTCAAGAGGCTTGCAGTGTATTTTTCTTGTGGGTTCTCAAATGTGGTATTACTAAAGGTAGTGGTGGCTTTAAAGTCATAAAAATATGTAAATTCTAAAACTGGAACATCTACAGTGGGGCAAAAAAGTATTTAGTCAGCCACCGATTGTGCAAGTTCCCCCACCTAAAAGGATGACAGAGGTCAGTAAT